CTTCAGTATTTTTATTACATCCTTTTTGAACTCAGGATCTGGTAGACTGGAGAGATCTGTTTAACTGTTTTTTCATTCAGGGGATTTCTCTTGTTCTTTTAATTGGAAGTGGTTCCTCTGATTCTTCATTTTATATTTCTGTGACTCTACGAATTTAGGAGAAACAGTTATCTACTGTGGTCTTGAAGGGCTGTTTTTATGTGGGACCATCCCTGTGTAGCCTGTGTGAGTCTAATATTTTTGGTTAGAGGGCTGTTTTTAGTATGGATGCCTTCCTTGGCTTTCCTCAGTGTGTGCTGCCTGTTATCCTCTTGATGTGGGGTGTGACTGGTGTTGTGGTGATCAGAGCCTGCACTGGATGTTGAGCGGGGCCTCCGTTTTGCTCTGTGGTTTACACAGCCCTACTGCGGGTAGGGTCTGTTCCCCAACTGTTGGAGTGGAAGCTTCCTGATCCGTTTCTAAGCTGTGGTGTGAGGTAGGTGGGACTGAAACACTTCCACTGGAAGAAGAGCCACTGAGTGTTCCTCCACAGGAGCTGTCTATTGGGAAGTGCGCTCTGTGGTCTAGCCCATTACCTGTTGTGTGTGGGCTCACAAAGTATACTGTTGTTGGCACTTCCCTTGGCCCTGCCTCAGCCTTGAGAATGCAAGCAATCAGCCCAGATGTCCCTCAGGCGCTGTGCTCACCAGTCCACCAGCATAGATATGCTGGCACAGATCCACTGAAATCAGGCACTGGGACCAGCCGAGACCTATGGAGTCAACCCACACCTCGACCCTGCCTCTGCGTGTTCTGGAAGCTGCTAATGCTGGATCCACCCAGCCACAGGAGCACCAGTAGTCTGCTCGAATGTTCCATAGGCACTGAGCTTACAAAGGAGTTGATGGCATAAAACCTCAAAAGCCACCAGGACACTGCTCAAATTTCAGCCCCGCTTCGAAAGTTGTGCGGTTCCTGGGGATCAGCACAGATTTCAGCCTTGCCTCTGAGTGTGGACAGGCCATGGTGCTTGTGTTGTGCCCACTGCAAGCATGTTTTGGTGGGGCTCCACCCTTCCCTTCTTGCACACACTAACAATGGGGCTTCAATGGCAGACTCGAGCTCTGTCCTGCGTACCCCCAGTTGCAGCCTAAGGCACACTCCAGCCCCTTCAGGCTGAAATAGGTAATTATGTTCCATCTTTTGTGTGTGTGTGTAAGTCTTTTATCTCTGTCTGTCTGTCTCTTTTCTGGTCAGTTTAGCTAAAGGATTGTCAATTTTCTTGATCTCTTTAGAGAATCAAATTTTAGTTTAATTGATTTTCTATATTTTTCTCTTTTCTATGTCATTAATTTCTGCTCAAATCTTTATTATCTCCTTCTTTCTTTTTGCTTCAGGTTCAGGTTGTTCTTTTATTCTGTGACTTAAGGTGTATGGTTAGGTTAGTGATTTCATATATTCTTTTTCAATATAGCTGCTCGTAGGTATAAATTTCCCTCTCTGCTCTGCTTAGGCTTCATCTCAGAAGTTTTGATGTGTTGTATTATACATTGTTCTACAATTGTTGAACAATGTTGTGAACACTGTTCATTGTATGGACGGTGTTGTAGCGTACACTGTTCTACAATATTTTTGGTTTTTTTCTTTCACCCATTTGTTATTTAGTCAAGGGTATATATTATATATATATGTGTGTGTGTGTATATATATATATACAAACTCACATATATATGTATAAAATTTGTTACATTAGCCTTTTTGCTTCTGGTTTGTGTTTCTCTTCCTTTGTTCTTGTGGACTCAGGTTGCCATTTGGTGTCATTTTCTTCCTCCAGTGTAACCTTGTTCCCATACACCTTCTTTGTGTTATTATTTTCAAATATATTATATATCCCATATTACAATTATATACATATTACTTTTTACATTGTTTTTTAAACCAGTTAAGATTGGAAAGGAAATATGCAATTATACTGTCTTTTATAATTATCTATGTTAATTACTTTTCCTTGTAATCTTTTTTTGTGTGTGTAGATTCATATTACTCTCTTTCAGCCTGAAGAACTTAAGTATTTTTTGAAAGAGAGCTCTGCTAGCAACACATTCTGTCAGTTTTTGTTATCTGGAAACATCTTTATTTCACCTCCATTTTTTTTTTTTTTTTTTTTGCGGTATGCGGGCCTCTCACTGTTGTGGCCTCTCCGGTTGTGGAGCACAGGCTCCAGACGCGCAGGCTCAGTGGCCATGGCTCACGGGCCCAGCTGCTCCGCGGCATGCGGGATCTTCCTGGACCGGGGCACGAACCCGTGTCCCCTGCATCAGCAGGCGGACTCTCAACCACTGCGCCACCAGGGAAGCCCTCACCTCCATTTTTGAAAGATAATTTTGATGAACTTTGATTCTTGGTTAACAGGGTGTTTTTTTTTTCCCAGTACATTAAGTATGTCATTCCACTACCTTTTCGCTTCATTGTCTTTGGTAAGAAAGTCAGCTATTAATCTTATTGGGGCTCCCTTGTATACAATGAATCATTTTCCTCTTGCTGCTTTCAATATTTTTTTTTTGCTTTTAGCATTTTTACCTTGATGTGTCTGGGAGTAGATTTCTTTGATTTTATCCTACATGGAGTTTATTGAGGTTCTTAGATGTATAAATAATGCTTTTCAAAAAATTTAGAACATTTTCAACCAATATTTCTGAGTGTTTTTCTCCTCCTTTCTCTCCTTTCCTTCCAGTACTCTCAAGATGTACATGTTGGTGTGATTAATAGTATCCCACTTTTCTTTGAGACTGTTCACTTTTCTTCAGTTTTTCCTGCACAGTTGTGATTATCTTCTCCTTGTTTTCCATTATCAGTATCTTACATCCTCAAAATTTCTTTATTAAATAAATCCATATTAATATTTCTGAGGCATTGCTTACACATATTATTTCCCAACTTGAAAGCTTCCAGTGACTCTCCCTTGTCTATACTGCAAATCAGTTTTATAGGTTGCCATTGTATGGCTCTTTTGTACCTCATCAGCCTTTTTGCACTCTTCTTCTACATTAATCTTTTAATCTGCCCAATTTCTCTTATCCATTATTCTCTCAACATACTAGGCACATTCTGCCTTCATGTCTTTTCTTATGCTCTCCTAGCCAACTTCTATCTTTTAATGTTTAATCTAGCTTCTAGGAGGTCTTCTGTGAAAATCTAGGTAAGTCTGTTGTAAAAGGAAGCCACAGTTTTATTCTCAACTCCTACAACACTTCATATCTATCACTTGTTTATGGTACCTCGTGTTGTCATTTTCAAAAATTGTTTTGTTCAGTTTAGTAAATTTTAAGCTTTTTGGTAGTCAGTTATTTCTTTGCATCTTCCCACTTAATACAGTACTCTGAGCATAAGGAAAAGCAATAAATGCAGTTGTTGATAATGTTTTATGCAACATGACATTTAAGCATATTTCAATTACTGACAGGCAATGAATATAATCAAAACAGAAAGGCTTTACCCCCAAATTAATTATTAGAGTTGGAAATTGAAGTAAAACATTAATTAATTAAACAGTTACTCTTTTCTACTAAAATCAGTGCATGATAGTGATGTTTATTGATTGAAAAATAGTAGTTGGTCCCATATATATAAACAACTGCAAATATACTGTTTTGGTCAACTAATGGTTTGGCAATTATTAGAGAAGCTCTGGATAGAAAAAACATCAACTGAGAAGAATGGGTCTCTTTGCTGACTCTGTCACTTCCTTCAGTTCTCTCTATTTCCATTCATTATCAAAACTAGTAATCACCAACCAGATGTTCCTCACCTCTAAGACCACTGTTCAGAGTGAGTTCCTGAGCCAAAGTTGTCTCTTTGTAATGATCTATATTTAATATCAGCAATTCTTTTTCATATATAATATAGTTAATGTCAGCAATTCTTTTTCACATATAATATAGATACTTTTAATCCTGTTTTACAATGTGAATGATATTGACCAATATTTTATTATTGGGTTGCCTCTTTAGTTGACATAAAAGAAAGAGAAGGCAATTTCAGAAAGCATGCCATGGAGCAGATAAGGTGTATTCTATGCTGATAGCCCGTTAAGCAAATTGGATAAAATGTCCTGACATCCTAGTTGGATTTGGCTTTGCTATTCTGAAGCTATTCTGAAATTTTAACTTATATGCATGTAAACATCTATCTACATAATAGGTTTCTGTGTCTATAAACAGCTGTGGCAATACAAGAATAAATAGGGTACTTATTAAAATAACAAACAAACATATCTTGAAAAACAGATGAATTTTATCAAAATGAGATGTAGAATTATAAGTAAAATCATAACTAGAAAGATAAGTATGTTATAGGCAGAAGCAGCTTTATTTCCATTTTCAACTCTTCTTGATCTTTCATTTAGACTCTTATGGAGTCTAAACAACATAATCCTTCCCTTATAAGAAACTATTATTTTTGTTTTATGCAAATAGAGGGCATCATTAAAATTTTAAAAAATCATGAAATACACCATCAGTGTTCATTGTCTAATGGACTTTCCTTTAAATAAATTTGATGAAAATGCAAAGATTTTTGTAAGTTTTAAATGGCAAATCTTTCTGCATAAGAAAGGGATTTGCTTGTTTTATAGGTAAAATTTTCAGCCTAGTATGGATTTTCATTATACATTTCATTATGCAGATAAGTATGTATGTGTATGTCTTCAATTCTGAAGTTGTTTATCTTGAAACTTAAATAATTAAAATAACTTTATATGATACTATATTTATACATGGAGAATGTGAAGCAATACAAATATGTTTACAAATAACTTTATTGTTTATATAACAGTCAATTATTAGGGTTCAACAAATTATTTATAAATTTAACAAATATGTTAGGATGCATAGAAATGTGTTTATTGTATTATGAAAAACACATAATTACATTTAAAAATATTCCTTTAATCAAGCTTTTAAAATTCTCATGGGTTAGTAGAATTTAAATCATATTTAATAAAGTCCTTTTTCTTTCTTTAGGAAAAACTCAAAGAGAAGGAAGAAAATCTGAATCTTGCAAACCAATTCTTAAAGTAGAATACAAAACCTGTAGAAACAGGTATGCATTTTTACTTTGAGAGTTATGGGAAAATATGTAAGAAACAGAGACAAGAAATTCAGATAACCTTTAATGTTTATATATTGTTTAAAGTTTTACATAATTATATTAACTGGCTGAATCTTCTTCATTGATAATAACAGATTTCTTATTGTTCAACTGGCAAATGTATTATGTCAATGTTATAAATAGCAAATCAATTATTTTAAAATTTATATGAATATTCAAATGAGCATTATATACATTAATTTTAACAATGTAGGGCTTTTGGACCATGCAATTACAAGCAGCAGTCATTCAACATTATTAAACAGCAGAAGCTATGTACCTGTTGGTATTACACATGAATTAAATACATAACCAAGTCTCTGTACTTTAGGATCTTACATTCTGAAGTTGGAAAGATTATAGTTAGTTGTGAAGGCAAACATTTATGTATATTGCCATAATACAATAGTGCTAAATTTTAAGATACAGAAAATTAAATAAAAAATAATATTTAATAGAAATTTACCTTGTATATACAGCAGCCATATCCTATGCATCAGCAATGTTTATACTTACAGTAATTATTAGTGGCAATACTCTCATCCAGAATTACCATAATTACAAATCTTGCCTAGACCTTAGTTTTATTTTAAGTCTAAATTGGATAATTCTACTTTATATTACTTAAATGTTCACACTAGAATATTTTCCTGTTGTCATAGGTGCATTTAATGTTTGCTTATAGCTGCTCTTCTCAAGGTATAGTAGATAGATGGATCAATACCTCTTTAGTCCAGCCTAATGTTACTATGTATAACTAGTAAAAATGATCATGGTTTTATTACTATTGTAACTAAAATATTAAAACACTTAAAATTTAATCATTATGGATGAAAATATTTTACATATATTCTTTTCCTTCTTAAAACAGTGTTTATAACTTAAACTTTGCTTGAGTCTTCAGGCTCAATGTTATTTACATTCATTGTTATACAGTGTCGCACTTAAAGGACTATTGAAGCAGTTGAGCACTTCACACTTATTAACTGTTCCTAGCAGCTTGTGCTTTCTTTTTTTTTCCTTCTTTTCATGTATGTATTTGTTTTTGAAAGTTTTCCTCTATCCTTCAGTTTGGGGCTTTTGGGACTTCTAATTTCCATTGTGTTTATCCACTAGTATCTAGTCTTTTATTTGCTATAGACTAAGAAATTTGAAACCCTAGTTTGTAAAATGAGAATAAAGAGGTTCATGTGAAGGCGTGAGAGGTTTTTCCCTGATAAAGTACATGATCCATGGACTTTATGACATGTATTTTGTTATATATAAATGTATTTTTTATGAGGTGCTCAACAATATGTAGCTTAATTCAATTAAAACAAAATGTATTAAGTTATTACTGCATAATGTGCATTGAGCAATTTGTTTGGCACACTAAAATAGAAATTACTGCCTGCTTTTGAATCTGTTATGGTCTAGTACCAGAAGTAAGCCCATAAACTCGTGGTTTCTATACAACATGTGAGGTGCTTTTATAGAGACATGCTATGAGAGCACAGCAAAAGGACAGCTAACCTTGCCTAAAGGGAGTAGGGAGGACAACAGTGAAGAGAGAAATCACTGAAATTCTTCTTAGGAAAGGAGATGTCTGAGATGGGATTTAAGGGATGGAAGATAGGATGGTGCCAGATGAAGGGAGAAAAGGGTAAACATGAAGAAAATGTACTTCAGAAATCAAGAATTCAAGGCAAGGCAGTTTAAAATAATGATTAAGATCATTGCGGCACTATTTACAATAGCTAGGACATGGAAGCAACCTAAATGTCCATCAACAGATGAATGGATAAAGAAGATATGGCACATAAATACAATGGAATATTACTCAGCCATAAAAAGGAATGAAATTGAGTTATTTGTAATGAGATGGATGGACCTAGAGCCTGGCATACAGAGTGAAGTAAGTCAGAAAGAGAAAAACAAATACCATGTGCTAACGCACATATATGGAATCTAAAAAAATGGTACCAATGAACCTAGTGGCAGGTCAGGAATAAAGATGCAGATGTAGAGAATGGACTTGAGGACACAGCAGGGAAAGGGGAAGCTGGAACAAAGTGAGAGAGTAGCACTGACATATATACACTACCAAATGTAAAATGGAAGGCTAGTGGGAAGCTGCTGCATAGCACAGGGAGATCAGCTTGATGCTTTGTGATGACTTAGAGGGGTGGGATGGGAAGGGTGGGAGGGAAGTTAAGAGGGAGGGTATATGGGGATATATATATACATATAGTTGTTTCACTTTGTTGTACAGCAGAAACTAACACAACATTGTAAAGCAATTATACTCCAATAAAGATATATATTAAAAAAAAAGATCATTGGCTTATGGAGTAAGACAGCTGTGTGACCTTGAAAATTTTAATTAACTCTTTTAAAATTTAATTTTCTCATCAACAATACCTATCTCACTGTGATGATTGTGAGGATTAAATTGAATTATGCATAAAGTTTGTAACATCATAAATTTGATGAGAGGCACATAGTGGATTTCTTAATAAAAAAAAGTTATTACTGCCATCATCAAAGCCATGTTATTTCACACTGTTAATATTTTTCAACTGATTCTGAATTGCTTTGTTCTAGTAATTGGTAGCTCAACTTTGTGTAGAAGTAATTCTTCAGATTTCTAATGTGAAATAATTATGTATTACTAATCATAATTACTATCATCTCCCTTACTATGCAACTGTAGTACATTGTGTCAATTTGTTGTGATTACAACTGTATTAGAAAAGCCTCTTCTAGAAGCAGTGGATCCACAGCTCAGAACAAAAGGAGACTACAAAAACAGAGGGGCACTGAAGTTGAGTCCCTAAAGGTGTTGCCACAGCAAAATGGGCCATAGTCTGGAAATGGAAATAGATAGTTATATTTCCGTTCCATCTAGTATACAGCAAATATTTTGTGAAATCAAAAATTGGGATGGCTGTAGCACGAGCAGGAACTTTAAGAAGAGCCTTACCATATATGCTGCAGCCTTACCTGTGCTGCATAGGTAACAGATGTAAAGGGTATGTTTTCTGTTTAATTTTATCTTAAACTAGCCATTCACAAACTTGCTTTACATTTCTAGGGATAAACAACCATTCTGCTCAGGAATCATTGGTCCTCAGTCATCAGTTTGCTTACTGAGGCTCCAATTACAATGGCCTCAAGGCTTAATAATTTTATCCTTTAAAAAAAAAGGAATAATGATCTCTTTACTTGCTATCACTAGCATTATCAGGTTCTCTGTAGTTAATAAAAATAACCTTCTGCTAGTTTTGTAATCCCTTCATGTTGTGGTCACCTACAGATAAGACTTCATGGGTAGTTATGTTCTCCAAGCTTTAGTATACCCATCTATAAAGTGGGAATAATAGTAGTAGTTCTCTCATTGGGAGGATTAAATACAATAATGCATGTAAAGTTCTTCACACAATACCTGGCACATCATAATACTCAACAAATGTTATTTTAACATGTATTACATTATGTTACACAATTTATTATTTAATCCTGTTGCTTTCATTGAGACAATAAGGCTCAGTGCTTTTTATTATATTTTATCTATTTTACAAATTATACAGTAAAGCAGACTTTTTTCTTTTGGTGCACAGTTCTGTGGATTTGTAACACATGTATAGATTCCTGAAATTGACACCACAATAAGAATACAGAAAATTTCCATATCCACTAAATTCTCTCATACTATCCCCTTACAATCATGCCTTTCCCCACACCTAACCCCTGGCAACCAGTGGTCTGTACTCTGTCACTATAGTTTTGCCTTTTTGAGATGTCATATAAGTGTAATTACATATTATGTAACCTTTGATCCTAGCTTCTTTTCCTCAACATAATGCCTTTGAGATTTATCTAAGTTGTTATCAATAATATTTAATTGTTATTAATATTTTCTTTATGTATGAAAACATTATCAATTATATGGTTATTTATTTCTTAATCCATCTGATAATCTCTCAAGACACACTTGTATTAATTAGTAAAGCAGGCAGTTTCATGTGGTATAGCATTTACCAAATTGTATCCCTTTAATTACTAATGTATTCATGGAGAAAAAGGAATCTGTAATCAAATAAATTTGAGAAATATGAAGAGTTCTGGGTTATTTAAACAAACTGGATTCTTTACTATACAATTTTTCAGAATATTTAATATATGGCATGAATTATAAAATTTCAGAAGGGAGATATATATACTTTGCAAGTGTTTGTCAAACTATTTATCTACTTATTTATTTTTGTAGAACACCTATTAAGGTATATTCCACAGTTTGAGAACTATTAGACTAGAAATGAAAAACACTCACTAGCTGCTTGACCCTGAACAAGTTATTTAACCTGTATTAAGCCCAGACTCCTTATCTATGAAATTGAGCTAATAGTACTTTTCTCATCAGGATTGAGGATTACAAGATTGTGAGGATTACGTAAAACTTACTTTATATATACACAGCACAATATATGCCACATGGTAAACATTCAGTAAATTGTAGCTATTTATTACTTCAGGCAGTATAGACCACAATTTAGGAGAATAGGCTTTGAAGGCTGATAGATCTCAGTTTTCTTTTGGGTTTTTCTGCTTAATTGTTATTTAACCTCATTAATAAAATGAGAACAATACTTCTAAGGCTTTAATGTGATAATTAAATATCTAATGCAATTATCCATGAGTGGTTTCCTGAGCATTTTCTTGAGGAAATAGCTTTTTATTCAATCATTCAGTAATTTACAGAAAAGTGCATGTATATCAACAATTACTTCAGACGCATGGTTTTGTGATGCAGAGTCATAATAAGAGCAGAAAAGATTGTGCCTCCTTTGAATACTAGAAAAGACATTTTCCAATGTACTTACAAATAAGGGAGAGTAAATTGCTTCTTATCCTATGTTTAGATTAGTACTAGGAGATGAGAGTAAATTCACCCATTTTTACATGGGCAAAATAGATATTTATGCCCTTTATTAATATTTGGAGCAGATCATTAAGCTCAATATTTATGAAAAGATATTATGCTCTCCAAGTCATGAACTTTGTTGCAAAACAAAGCAGCAGAGGTGCAAAAACCCACACTCATTTCATTAAAAATGATTTTTAAATCTGGAGATGTATTCTAAATAATCTAAGTACTATGTATTTCATAGAAAAAACAAACTTGCTTCTTAATACCACCATTAGTAGGTTGGTGCTAATTAATATGTCTAATTACTGGGGCAAAACTAACTCAAGTCAATTGATGCAAGACTCAAGGAAAATAAATTAGAGCATTTTCCCTTTTTTAGCTTACAACACAAATATTTATATGAAAATATTAAGACAGAACTTTAATTAAAAAGTAGTGAAGGCATTTTATATGTAGGTTTTGATGGAAACTTTTTAAAAGGGCTTTTTGTTGTTATTACATAGCCAGCATAAGATTAGCAAATGTCCCTTTGATAATGTTTGGTATTATGTACGATACAAAATGAAAAAGAAAGGGAAATTTTATGGAGTGAGTTCTAGAAACAAGTAGATTCTTCAGTTTAGTAGATGGATAGAAGTGAATTATTTAGAGAAACATGTTCTCAAGGAATTTGGTACAATAAAAGTGTCTAGTTCCTTTAAAAAATTTTGGAGAATATTTTCAGTTTGGTCTTATTGAAAAATACTTCATATCAACACACATTTTCTTTTATATACATATACTAGAGATACAGATATTTGAGAAAAGGAAAATGAAAACTTTTGAAGATATTTCATAACTTTCTGACAGCTATGATATTTTATGGTCATTTCAGCCCCACTCTATTATCTAACTGTAACTTGCAGTTAACAGAAATGAAAAAATTTGTTCGAAGTTAGTTTTACAAGCTAAATAGAACTGGCTGACCCTAGGTAAAGTTGAGAAGAAGGTCACATTTACTTTTGGTGAATCATTTTCCCGTTACATATTAGTTTTCTCCATCTGTTTGTCATAACCCTTTCCCACAGAAACTCTATTATGTAGACTTTTCATGTTACCTTCTACCATTCTGGGCTTGCCACTGTCACATTTCATTTCATGTTGAAATTTGCATCTATTTCTTAGTGATTTGGGGTCCCACATACCTTTTGGTTAATATGATAAAGTAACATAGCCTAATATTCTAATAGTAGTAATTTAGAGTTTGGTAACCAACTAATATATGTGAAGATGTTCTGTTGAGTCACTCAGCATCTTCCCCTCTCACCAACCTCACTGCCTTTGCCCCATCTCACCTCAACATCTTTAGATTGATTCATTAGTAATTTTAATGGTGAGAATATACATCCAGAAAAAAGGAAATGGTAGAATAGTAAATTGTTGGGTGAGATATTTGGGGCCAGGAAAGGCTTTTACTCTCTGTCAAATTATTGTATATAATCCTTATTAAGCCCCTTCCTTTTTGCCTCAATACTGTGAGATTGTGTCATCTTAAAGAACTCAGTCTCATTAACTTTTTTTCCTCTGTAGTGAACCATTCATAATATTTTCTGGTGGACTGTCCTATGACAAAGCTTGCAGAAGACCAAGTTTAACCATCATGCATGGAAAAGCAATTACAGTGCTTGAAATGGATCATCCTATTGTTGAATTTCTAACTTTATGTGAAACACCCTATCCAAATGGTAAGTAACTAAAATGAATATTAATGTTGAAAAATCATTTTTGAAATGATAAGTTCCTAACAAAATTAAGCTTAAATATTTTTAGTTTTAGCAGCTGATATCGACTGTGATACAACACTGTGAGCTACAGGTGCTGGAGCAGGTTCTGCAGCTGTACCTACTTGAGAAAATGGAAGTAAGACAGATGTAGTGCAACAGTGCTGGAGTTTCAGGTTCTAATATCAGGTAAGTGCTTTAAACTTTGATAAGGATGGTGGAAGCTGAGCTGGGAGGGTCTGCTCAGGGTCCGGGGTGAAATCACTTGGAGAAACTGAGGTCTCCTAATAGCCTTTCCTAGGCCAGCTCCACCCATCCCAATCCTGTGCCAATCAAAGTTAAAGCACTTACCTGATATCAGTGATCTGTAACTCTGGTGGTGCTGCATCTGTTTCACATCTGGCTTTGCTTCAGATGCAACTGTAGCACCTGTGATTACTCTAGGATTGCTGATGTATGGTTAGTGATTTATTCCAATTTTGAAAATAATTAGAAGAGCCTTTGGGAGGAGAGGTGCTTATGTATTTTTATTATCTCAAATATAAAGACTTCATAAACATAAAAAACCAGTCTAAACTTATATGCAAACTGTATAATGGAATCTAATGATGAAATATTTTAATAATGAAATCTAAAAATTGAGAAGGGTGAAATATAAAAAGGGAAATATGAGTTTATGATTACAAAAGATAGTATGTATATATATATTACCACATTTTCAAGAGGGAACATAGATGTAGGGAAAGGAACACTGTACTTGGAGACAGAGTATTTGGGCTTATGATTTAGCTCTGTCACTTACTAGCTATGTGACCTTGGACAAGTCACTTCATATTTACAAGTTTGATTAATCATTTGAAGAAAGAATATAATATTGATACCACATGATTACTGGAAGGCCAAAGGGAATATACCTTATAAACTATGAAGATAAATAGCTATTAGTTTTATTATAAATGTATTAATTGTTTTAAATTATTGAGTTTCATACTTAAAAACTGAAATAAAGTGATATAAAATAACAATCAATGTGGCACTTTATTCCCAGAGTTGCCAGGGGCAGACAAATTACTTGTGTTGTAAATTCACCAACAAATATTTATTGGATGCTTCTATGGCCTCAGTATGACAAGAACTTGTTGAGAATACGGATGAAGTATGAAACTGATCTCTGATGTCAAATCAGAAAATCTGGCCACATGAGGAAGATAATTATGACTTAAGTTTAAAAAATATAATGGCTTAATTAAGCACTGAGTTATACGAATCAGTTTAAATAATGTACCAATTTATAGGCTAGTCAGGTAGTCGATGACTGAAATATTCATGCAAAGCTTCATGGAAAAAGTAGGATTTAGACAGGGCTTGAAGAATGACTTGGGCCTTGAAAATAATATTGAGTAAAGGTTTTAGAAATTGTGAGGTTTTGCTAGAGTGAGATCAATTCAGAGAAAAATTTGAAAGCCTTTTGTAGGTATTTGGAAATAGGGAACTACAGAGGAATTTTGAGGAAATATTAAGTGAAAGAACGCAATGTTTTACTGTGTGGGTTTGAAGAGAGAGACCCTGAAATCTAAAACTTCAGATTCCAACTGGGAGGCTTTTGTGGTAATGTACATTAAAATGGTCAAGATCTGAAACAGAGTGCTGCTTGTAGGAATGGAAGATGAAAACCCATTGAATTTGGTCAACAACTGGATTAGGGAGTGATATGAGAGATGAGTCAAAGACAACATTTTAGGAATAGTGGTTTCATATGCAGTAATAACAGTTCTTGGAAAGAGAGAAAAATAAGTTTGAGTCAGTAGAGTTGTGTAGAGAGCAGAAAAAGAGAGGGAAAAGGTCTTTAATATTTATTTTTGAGTCATCAGAATATAGATGCTCTTTGGAGTTGTGAGAATGAATGATAAAGGAACAAGGAAAGAAAGAAAGAACAGAGGACCAAAAGCTGAGCTTAGGAAAATGCCTTCTACTAAAGAGCCTCAAGAAAAAAGGTGTGCATACCAGTAATAGAAACTGAAAATGTGTGGTTGCCAAGATCAAACACTATAGGTATATGTGTATATACATTGGTGCACATCAGCAGAGATGTTAGGACAGTTTCTAATAATGTTAAACAAATTATAAATGTACTGTAACCAAGCCTAATCACTTCCAAGCCACATATATTACTTTGCTTTTCAGAGAAGTGGTAGTGAGGATGGAACTTTTTACTTACTAGGAGCTGGGAGAAATAGTTTAACTTTACTCAGTAAAATATAAGTGTATTTTATTAACTATTTCTGATTAAAACAATAGTACATGAAAATGCCAGAAAAGAACCCTACAATACACAACAGTATATAGTGAAAACTTTCTCACTGCCCTTCCAGGGGCAACCACTATTACTAAGTTTCTTATGTATTCTCCCCCAAATAATGTATGCATATATGCATTATCTTTTTTATACAAATGACAGCATACTCTATATGTTGTTCTGTATCACACTTTTTTCACTTAACAGTATACAGTATTTTGATTATGATTCCATATTAGTAAATATGGAACTTTAATCTCCTTTATAGCCACATAATGATAAGTGTTATGCATATGTTAAACAAAATACACTTATTAACAGTTTTTAATATTGCTGAATCATTTGTGACATCTGACAATTCAGCCTGTTTCTCAAAGAACACAAACGCCTAATCCTCTTATCTCAGGGGGCATTGCCCAGAGTAACTAACCAACTATACGCCGAATTTGTCAGTTTTGCATCTATATTTAATTGTATCTGGTCTTCTACAAGTGTCATAAATAATGCATTTCTCTTCAGAGAAGTAGTATTTATGATAGAGCTTTTCCATCTTGTTGGGGGCTAGGGTTAAAAGGCTGAGCCTGCTCAAAAACAACCAATCTAATAAAAAAAGTAATACAGTTGGCATCTATTGAGTACTTACTATAAGCCAGCCTTTGCATCAAACATCTTTATATACATCTAATCTTTATTAACAGTCTAAGGTAGTATTATTTTGCCATTTCAATGGGTAGAGAAATTGAAAATCAAAGAAGTTAACTAATTTGCCTAGGATCAAACTGTTAATAAATAATAGACACAAATTGAACCTAACACTGACTCCAAAAGAAATCTTTTTATTCAGTGGTTACCACAGCACACCAAGTACTTCTACAAACGTGAAACTTTTGCTACCAGTTTTTATTATTTGAAAAGAAACAATAATCTAAAACAGGTGTAATTACCTAAAATAAAAATTTATTTAAGGCTTTTGCTCATTCATGCCAATGTCTCAGCTGTTTTATTTTTGTAGCCATTGCTTCCCAACCAGTGATTTTCCTAGAGAGGGATGAGAAGACAAAGAGGAAACTAGTAGTATTCTTCAAACTGAAAAACAAACAAAAAAATCCCCAAACCCCGAAACGTTTTGAAATAATGTTGAAAACTTAAAACAGCTCTAAGAGATAAGGGAGAAGAGGGGAAATGCCTCAGTTTGAAAAAGTTTGAGTAGCAAATAGTTTGAGGACCGTATACTGTTGTATAAATATGCACCCAAACAAGGTCAGGCTCCTCAGTTTTTGTTTTTTTGTGTTTTTTTGATTCTAGTTTTTCTCTCATAGCTTGTGACTTAAAAAATAAATATGAATAGGTTCTGTAGCTTCTCAGGACTGGAAGGACTGTGAAGGCCATCTATTTTAATTTACCATTCAAGACTTGAATACTCTTGAATACAAAATTCCTGCCAAGTGATTGTTGAGTTTAGGATTAAATACCCCTTAAACTAGCCAGTAGAAACTGCTGGTATAATGAAAACAGCATGCATTAAAGTTTCAGGTCTATAACTTACTAGTTTTGTAACCTTGTGCCAATCTCATAACCTCTTTGGACTCCAGTTTTCTTTATGAAATGAAAAAATGATGATACATGCTCTAGCTACTGAGAATCAAATACCATGTATGTAAAATATTTTTGTAAATACTTTTTTCCTTAAATTGAGCTAACACTGTAACTGTGGCTTTCCTTTATTAGTCCTTTATTACAGATGGAAAGCAATGTCTTCCTTGACCACTATAACTAAATTAGTGTTCCCCCACCAACCAGAAGTCATTTCTTATACTATTACCCTTGTTATTTTTTTCATAGTTCACTTTACTTTCTGAATTAATCTTATTTGTTTACTTGTTCATTGTTTGTATGTACCCCTAGATTGTAAACTTTATTAGAACAAAGACCTTGTCATTCTTATTCCCCATATATCCTTTGTTCTTAAGACAGTTTCTGAAACATCTTGAAGGAAGGAAGAGAGGATGGAGAAAGGGAGAAAGGAAGGGTTGAATTTTAAGAACTTGAAAATCCTAGGCTATCCTCAGACTCTGATTTTTTGAGATATATACTCCTGGGCATATAGTAGGAAGTCTAAGTACCTGTTAAATCACATTGAATTGAAAGTAATTTTTTTAGTATAAGGAGTGTTGCTCTCATAGGGAGGTGAATATGTATCACAACTGAGAGAAGCAGAACTGTTTCCTTAGTATATCTCCTGTAGGCATGAAATCAGATCTGAAATGGAAGGTTATGGAAGACTAAGATAAATGTGAGATGGAGATGACAGACTCACTGTCTTCAAATAATCTACTACTATCATGATTATTGAGATAATATTTAACTCTATGCTATGCAACTTCTCATTTTTTCCTTGTTTCCTATAATGGTCTTAAACATTGTTTGAGAAACACAACATATATATATATTTTTTTTGAGTCCCACGTTTTTCTTTTTCTCTTTTTTTTTTAAACATCTTTATTGGAGTATAATTGCTTTACAATGGACAACATATATTTTTAAAAAGTGCTCTTTGTTACTTCTTATTTTAGCTCATACTTTGGTCTTCTCAAATCATTTAAATAACATTTATACAGGAGATAAAGGAAATACAAGTTTGGTGATTTTATAAAATGTTAAATATGAAAACTTTTCCATTTTTCTTTTCTACTTGTAGAATTTCAAGAACCCTATGCCGTTGCTGTACTTCTGGAGAAAGATCTCATTGTAGTTGATCTGACACAAAGCAAGTAAGTTGTCCATGTACGGATTAACACTATTTTAGACTCTATTTATTGCAATTAAAATATAGGAGGACATTATAGATAATTGGCATTAGAATTCTTTAGATGGTAAATATTCTTTATGTGTAATATTGTTTTGCTAGAATTACAAAAATGTGATTTGGTTCAATAATGAAAACTAAACCAGGAGAGTTTAGGGGACACTGAGAATATTGTAAGATATTTTAAAGGCAACACCTAATGTTTAAAAAGATGCCTTTGGGGACTCCAAACACATAAAATGGATCACATTTCTGCTATTTCCCTAAGCAAAAAACAATTGTTACAAAAATTATATAATGTACTGTTTGTCCATCTGCTCTGTTGACTAAAGGAAAATGGCACATGATAAAAGTATTATTGAACTACTGTGGCAGACAATACAGAAGATCAGGATCTCGAGGCAAGAGATGATAGATGCCTTCTTTTACTTTCTTTTCTTTTTCATTATGTTGTGGGCAGTAGAAACAAATATAAAATATTGCTGTTAGAGTGGTGCTTTCCACTACTTTACATGGACAGTAAAGCTAGACTTGAAACTGATGAACACTGTCTTCCTGCTACATATTTTCATTATCAATGATGATAGGCATGAAGCTCATTTTCCCTCATTCTTTGTTCTAGACTCACTGATCCTTTTTTAGCCTGTTATATTTGCAGAGCTTTTGTACATTCTCTCTTCTCTGCATGGAATAATCTTCCATTCCTTTTTCTCCTTACTAACATCTATAAGAATCTCAACTCAGATATCGTTTTCTCATTAAAGAAAATCTTTCATTATCTGTATAATTTGGTCAAATATCCTATTAAGGGCTGTCTTAGATCCATGTTCCTGTCCTTCATAGCTTTGACACAGATGAAATTTTCCATTTGTTATTTTTTTAAGATTGTCTCCCTACTAGACTGTAGGCCTCATGAAGGACAGGTTTTGTCTCCACATGAAGTAGGTTCTTAATAAATTTTTGTTGGATGAAGTACAGTCTGAGTTTTACTCTCAGTGTAGTTTGTGAATGTAAGAGCCAAAGTTCTTCTTTGTGATAATTTGCATCACATAGTATTTCAATATTTTGAAAGGGAATAGGGTTGGTCCATAATATCACCATAACTGAATTCTGCCTAGCTGCTCTATTTATCAGCATAAAACCTGATTAAGTTTTGTGTACGAGTGTGGATTTATGCCTCTTTCTCTAAGTTCTAATATAGGTTTTATTAAAATATACTTTTCTGATCTCACTGGTAGTCACCTCTTCCTTCTGTGTCATATTTGTTGGTTCCTCATACCTTGTCTAATTGTCTAACATCCTCCAAGGCCCACTATACTTTGTCTTTAATACTCACATTCTTTAGCATATACATTTATTCTTTTTAAAACTTTTTTATTGTGGTAAAATACATATAACATAAAAGTTACTATTTTTATACATTAATTCTTATGCTTTTCATTACCTTATATAAGTATGTGAATTGACGTTTCGTTTCCACGTTTTTATCTAATATTTTGCCTTCTTCAGCACCATGTTTTAAAATCTATGTGACATTCCTATTTTGCTGTCTATTACAAGAAGTTTAATGTGGAAAAACTGAACATGTTCTCTTTCCCTCCAAATAGTTACTTTTAGCCATGTTTAATGTTAACAAATTGCAGCTTTGTACTCATTTTTCAAATTAGTTTATTCCTTCCTTCCTTCTTTTCCAGTTAATCCTCTACATGAAAGCAAGCATTAGGGCTTAAAAATTTTTCCTCTTCTTGGATTTACGTCTTTGTTTACATTTCTACAACAACCAGTTCACACTTTCACACGTAAATTTTTGTAATACATTTTTAGTTATTTCTTTCTTAAATGTCATTTTTCTACTCTTTGCCAATATAATAAAGTTATTTTCCCCAAACACTTCCATGATATTGTTCACCTTCTCAGGAGTCTATCATTGTAATCTCTTGCTATTATCAAATCCCAAATTGTAGATCTGATCTTTAAGGTGATCCACTTATTTTACTTCTAATTCTTCAATATCAGAAATATTGATAATTTCTGCTCTGAAACAGGGAACCTCTGATCCATTCAGTTTAAACTACTTGCCATTTATTAAACACAACTTTCTCCTTTCCATGTGATTTTGCATATACTACTTTTCTTATCTGGGAAACCATTAATATTGGAGGGAAGAGAACCGCTGTCAACACACACATACACACACACACACACACACACACACACACCAAACTCTTTCTGGTGTTTGAACTAAGTTTCTGATTAAGTTCCTATAATGTGGGGAAAATTATTTTTAATAGTCCTCCCCACCCCCCGAAAGCACGCTGTATCAGAAGTAACATGATCACACAGACTGAGAACGGATGCAGCATAGAATAATACTCCATTCCATCTACTACAGTACCTGGTACATCTGGTACATGAGAAGTGTACAATATATTGTGGTTCTAAGAATTCTTAATTTGGTTCTTACTGATACCCCTTTTTAAAATGATATATGGCTTGAGGATATGAAATTTACTACAGCCATAGGTCTGCATTTCCACTGTTTTCTAGTTTACATAGGAAACAATCTTAAACATGTGTAATCACACACATACCTACATTGCACACACAACTTTCAGTTACTCCCTGTAAAAATACAAAACCAAAATACTTGCCTATGTATTATGTCCCTTGGAGAGCATGTAAAATTTTCTAAGATATTTTAATACTTGTATTATATAAATATATAGATAAAATTGTATGTAGATAAAGTACTTAGTTGATAATGTTTTAATAAACTGACTGATAAGTCAACTTGCTACATATTTTCAATTTAACATAATTTAGTCTATCCATTTTAGAAAGCGATATCACTGTGCAATTTTGAAATTACTGGAAAGAAAATGAGTTTATTCAAGTAAAATTCTACTAGTATTCATATTACATTTTATAGATATATATTTTTAAAAGAGAATTCTTGTTCAGGTGATCATTGTTTTATGATGCTTAAAAAACAGTTATGTGAAATATATTCAATATAATCAATATTTAGAAGAGCTTAGGGTTTGTTTTATGAAAGCTATTTCATTTTTATATCAGTGCAAAATGACACTAATATATTATCTTTATCTATTAGCTTTCCTATCTTTGAAAATCCATATCCCATGGACATTCATGAATCACCAGTTACGTGCACAGCATACTTTGCTGATTGCCCACCAGATTTGATTCTAGTGCTCTACTCTATAGGAGTCAAGCATAAAAAACAAGGATACAGTAATAAGGTAAAAGCAACAATTAGAAATTTTCTTGTATTCATATCCATATCATATGATCATACTTTTTTCTGTTATTTTCTGACTTTCCATAGAAGAAGACTTGAACTAAATTCTTTTCAAGTCATAAGCTGGCGCCTATAAAAGACAATTTCTGAAATTCAAATTTCCTAAATGCTACATAGCTTTAAGTGTACGAGAATATAAATTTCTTATATAAAAAGTATACAATTATCTACTAAGATATACTTACCTATCATATATATTTATATACTAAATATATGTTTAAACTAACATATGCTTGAATCATAAGATGTTACCTTTGATTATTTTAGGTGAAGGATTACGTTTTAAGAAATTCAGGAGTCAACTCTCTCTAGTTATTTCTTATCAATCAATGGTTAATAAGACATAATTGTCAAAGTCTTTCATTAAATAACTTTCTAGAATTCCATTTTGTTATATTTAACTACAGGATTCAAATACTTACAATTATAAAAGACCCCCCCATTATGATTTCTGTTATTTGAACAGGACTGTTGAGATGGACAACTCCAGGGGGCACAATTTACATAGTATTTTGTGTTAAATGGCACCACCACAGTTTTGAGGTACATAGACTACATGGAAAATGTAGCAACACCACATTTGTATGATTAAAGATACTTCTTTGCATTTTTAATATGAATGGTAATATTTGTTAAAATCTATATTTTTAAAGGATATGAAATTTTGCATTTGGAATTGTTTGTTCAATGAAGGAGTTAAAAAATAGGTACACATTTCATTCTTCATTACTTAACAGCTATTTAGTTTTAAGTGAAACTTTTACTGTTATTTTAAAATATTTTTATTTTAAATTTCTAAGTTATTTAAATTTAAAAAATAAAACTTATAAATTCTTCCCACATAATCTGTTTAGGAGTGGCCAATCAGTGGAGGAGCTTGGAACCTTGGCACACAGACATATCCGGAAATTATTATTACTGGGTAAGTGGGATGTGATTTATGAGTTTATCAATTTATCATCAAAAAGATTTCATTGAATTTTCACACTTTCCCATAATTGTGCTGTAGGAATGCTGACAGTTTAAATTAAAATATAAGACACAGCTTCTATCCAAAGATTATAACCTTTATAGAAGATAAAATCAAATCATTGAAAACATAGACATATAACAAAAATAAGTAAGTATAGATTATAAGACCAGAAGAAAGTCAGAGATAGAAAAATCATGAGAGATTAGTCAAAGAAGAATTTCTGTAGAAATCATAGATTATTAGCCTTAGACAGGCCCTTACCAATATCTCTTGATTCCATCTAAATCCAGGAATCAGTGCTCTGTATCTCCATCAAGTGGCTATTTAAAGTATACTTCAAAACTTATAGCACCGGAAATGTTGTTACTTCCTATAGCAACCCACTTCATGCTCTAATATTAGGAATGAAAATGGAAACATAGCAACAGATAAAGATAAGACTTAAAAGATCATAAGGAGTTCTGCTTATGAGGTATGGAATAGATGTACTTTTCCCTATTCTTCCCACTAAGTACAATTAAAACCCCTGGATATTATTATAATATGCCTGGAAAAGATGGAGAGAAGTCAGACTGGATAGGTCCCCAAAGACTCAAGGAATGACATGGAAGTGAGTTTCCTGGCTTTTCTTTTTGCCTCATATATCCCAGAATTGGAGCTGAAGAAGCTGGCAACCTGGAGCTGCAGGCACAAACCTAAAAAGCCCAACGAAAGCTAGCTCTCTCTAGCCAAAAGGTGAGGAAAGGAGAAGCCTATAAAGACAGTAAACTTTTAGAAAATAATCTTTCTATTATAGCTAACCAACACAGAAAAAAACTATGACTCCACCCCTACCCACTTCATCAAAGGTTGAGTGGAGAGTGTGGACTTTCACCCTCATCAGGCCATAATAAGGTGCCTCAACTTGCCCATGAAGGGGGTGTCAGTTTCTGACACTGAGCTAAGGCTGAGTAGGGTGCTGGGACTTTTAACCCTGCTGAATAGTAGTGAAACACATTACCTGTGGTGACAGAGATAATGTGGGGAGAGAATTCCCAGCACTGCCCAGCAGTAATGAGGAGCCATATACCCTCCCCTTTTTTGTCAATGGAAGTCCAGTGAGGAAGGAGGAAAAGACAGAACTTAAAAAGTTCATAAGGAAATAATGGTTGAAAACTTCCCAAATTTGGCAAAAGACATGAACCTAGAGATTGCAGAAGGTGAGCGAACCACAAGAAATTCACAGTAAGACACATCATAGTCAAACTTTTGAATACTAAACACCAAGGAAAAACATATGAAAACAGCAAAAGAGAAATCACACCTCACCAACAGGGCAAAACCAATTTGAATGATGGCATATTTCCATTAGAAACCATGGAGGCCAGAGGAAACCTGAATCTTTTTCAAGTGCTGAAAGAAAAGAACTGGCAACCTAGAATAATATACCCAGCAAAAATATCTTCCAGGAATTAATTAGAAATTAACACATTCTAAGATGAGGGAAACTAAGACTATGTCAGCATCAGACTACTCTGAAAGAATGGCTAAAGGAAATTCTGTAAACAGAAAGCAAATGATAAAAGAAGGAACCTTGGAATATGAGGAAGGAAGGAAGAACACAGTAAGCAAAAATATGGGTTAATACAATAGGCTTGCTTTCTCTTGAGTTAAAATTATATTTGATGGTTGAAGAAAATATTATGGTTACATTGTTTGATGTGGTTCTACATATGTATAGAGGAAATATTTAAGGTAATTATAAATGGGTGAGGGTAAACTGGTATAAAGAAAGGTAAGGTTTTTATACTTCCCTTAAAATGGTAGTATGATAACACCAGTAGACTGTGACAAGTTAAATGAATATTACAATGCAGTACCTAAAGCAACGCTGTAAAAAGATCTGGGCTAAGAGATACACTGAAAAACATTATTGACACATAAAAATGGATGTACTAAAATAATTCAGTTAACCTACAGGAAAGCAGGGGGAAAAAACAGTGACAATAAAAGAGGGAAAAATAGAAAAGAAAAAAAAAAGACGGACTTAATTAATCATGGAAGTGTTAAGGCTTAAATGTAAATGGTCTAAATACATCAATTCAAATGCATTGATTAGCGGAGTGGATTAAAAAACATAAACCAACGCTATGCCATTAACAATACACTCACTTCAAATACCACAGTATAATCAGGTTTAGAGAAGAAGGACAGAAAAATACTTTATAAAAGAATCAATGGAGGGCTTCCCTGGTGGCGCAGTGGTTGAGAGTCCGCCTGCTGATGCAGGGGACACGGGTTCGTGCCCCGTTCTGGGAGGATCCCACATGCCGCAGAGCGGCTGGGCCCGTGAGCCATGGCCGCTGAGCCTGCGCGTCCGCAGCCTGTGCTCTGCAACGGGAGAGGCCACGACAGTGAGAAGCCCGCGTACCGCAAAAAAAAAAAAAAAGAATCAATGGAGAGTGACATCAGCAAGATGTCAAAATAAGTAGCCCCAGACCTCGTTCTCCCACAGGCACACTGATGCAACAATATATGGTCCAAAAACCTTTATGAAAACTCTAGAAACCAATTAGGAAATCATAGTACCCCAGGGGAGCTCAAAGCCAAGAGTAGCCACACTGAAATGGGTAAAAACAGCCATTTTATTTCAACTATATCAGCTTCTTCCCCAAATTGGCACAGCTCTTGTTCAGGAGGAATCTTCTCTCATGAGAGGGAAGCAGTGGAGTAGACTGTACATCCAATGTTCCTGCTTTTCAGGGGACTTCCAAAGAGACTAGTTTTTATCTCCCCTGAGTCAGAGTACTGATGGAACCTGGATGCCTGGGGGCTGCAGAGAACAAAAGAGAGCTCAGTGGCTTATTGAAGTGCTAAGAAACTTGCAGAACTAAGACAGATAATAGAAGGAGCAAGAGATGCAAGCTCCTGAAAAAGAAACCAGCAAACCTCTCTAATTGGGAAATTACACATACAGTCCCAGAGAAGATGCATCCCCATTGAAGGTTTGAGAGACCCCAAGGATATTGAGCTTGGAGAAGGTCTTCCCCTGTATAAAGCTGTCCATAACAGGTGGCTGTTTTCCAAATGCTAAATTCACAGTAAAAAATAACAAGGGGCAGGAAGAAACAGAAAAACACAACCCAATCAAAGGAACAAGATAATTATCTATAAACTGACCCTAAACAATTTGGTATCTGTGAATTACCTGACAAGCAGTTGAAAATAACTGTCTTAAAGAAGCTCAATGCATGAAAAGAGAACACAGGTAGACAACTAAATGAAATCAGGAAAATGATGTATGAATGAAATGAAAATATCAACAAAGAGGTAGAAACTTTTAAAAAGAACCAGAAAGAAACTCTTAAAGAGAAGGATACAATAACTGAATTGAAGATTTTACTAGAAGGGATTAACAGCAGATTTAATCAGAAGAAAGAACCAGCAAACTTGAAGATAGGTAATAAGAAATCACTGAGTCAGAGGAACAAAAGGAAAAAGAATGAAGAAAAGTGGCGAATGCCTAAAGGACTTATGGGAAACCATCAAACATACCAGTATAGCATTATGGAAGTCCCAGAAGACTAGAGAGAGAATGGGACAGAGAACCAATTTGAAGCAATCTTGGCTAAAAACTTCTCAAATCTGAGGAGGTAAATGGACTTCCATATTCATTGGATATGTATCAGAATATTCTAATGAGGATGAACCCAAAGAGGTCCACACTGAGACACATTATAATCGAATTGTCAAAGACAAAGAAACAATCTTAAAAGCAGCAACAGAAAAGCTACTCATTATCTGTATGAAAAATGTCATGAGATTATCATTGTATTTCTCAGCAGAAATATTACAGGCTAGAAGGGAGAAGGATGATATATTTAAAGTGCATAAAGAAAAAAGAAAAGCCAGCCATGGGACACTATATCTGGAAAACTGTACTTCAAAAATGAAGGAGAAATAAAGACCTTCCAAGATAAACAAAAATTGAAACCAGGGCTTCCCTGGTGGCGCAGTGGTTGAGAGTCCACCTGCCAATGCAGGGGACACGGGTTCGTGCCCCGGTCCGGGAATATCCCACATGCCATGGAGCGGCTGGGCCCGTGAGCCATGGCTGCTGAGCCTGCGTGTCCGGAGCCTGCGCTCCGCAATGGGAGAGGCCATGACAGTGACAGGCCGTGTACCGCAAAAAAAAAACAACAAACAAAAAAACCTGAAACCATTTATTACCACTATACCTGCCTCACAAGAATTGATAAAGGGAGTCCTTTGAGTTGAAATGGATGAACACTAGACAACAAAATGAAAGCATATGAAAATAAAAAGCTCTCTGGTAAAAGTAAATACACAGACAAAAACAGTATCCTATAACACTGTAGTGGTGGTGCATGAATCACTTTAAATTCAGGTGTAGAATTTAAAAGATAAAAGCATTTTTAAAAACTATAACTATAGGAGGGAAAGCTTCGGAGCCACAGAGGAGAGCACAGCAACAGGGGTGCAGAGGGCAAAGCGGAGAGATTCCCGCACGGAGGATCAGTGCTGACCAGCACTCACTCACCAGCCCGAGAGGCTTGTCTGCTCACCTGCAGGGGCGGACGGGGCTGGGAGATGAGGCTTGGGCTTCAGTCGGAGCGCGCAGGGAGAGGACTGGGGTTGGCAGAGTGAACACAGCCTGAAGGGGTTAGTGCACCACGGCTAGCCGGGAGGGAGTCCGGGGAAAAGTCTGGACCTGCTGAAGAGGCAAGAGACTCTTTCTTCCCTCTTTGTTTCCTGGTGCGCGAGGAGAGGGGATAAAGAGCGCTGCTTAAAGGAGCTCCAGAGACGGGCGCGAGCCGCAGCTAACAGCGCGGACCCCAGAGACGGGCATGAGACGTTAAGGCTGCTGGTGCCACCACCAAGAAGCCTGTGTGCGAGCACAGGTCACTATCCACACCTCCCTTCCAGGGAGCCTGTGCAGCCCGCCATTG